CTCTGTTTTCAAATGGTTTGCTGCTGTCTGTTTGGACCTTTCTGAACATGTGTAGCAAATGGAATGATCCACTGAAGGGGGGGCTAAGACACACTTAATATAATATAATAATTGTTCTGATGGCATTTTAGAGTAAGGATTTTTATCAAAAACATAAATAATGTGCACAAATAAGGAATAGTTGTATTAACCATACATGAAAAAAGAGTTTTATGGGGCCCACAGTAACTTGGGGCCCTAGGCAACTGCCTAGTTTTGCCAAAACGATCCAAACTGAGTGCACCAACCTTATGAGTGAAAACAGTTATTTATCAAACCTTAAATGGTGAAGGCGCGGTGTTCCAGCCATTTAAAGTCAGCTGCAAACAGGCAAAGATGTCTGCTGTCATTGTGGCCACAAAGGAGGCATTGGTACAATGAGAGAATGTGAGCTTATATGACCTTATATGTTCAGAAACAACAGTAGAAGAATTACATGAATTAATCTGCTCTGGACAGAAGCGGAAATATAGTGATATGTCTGTGAAGGAAATTGAACACCTATCAGGGACTAGACGGGAAACTTTGGGGAAACATATCCACCGTGGGGAACACATACTGATGGTCCCGACTTCCCAGTACGGCAGGGGTGGGCAATTCCAGTTCCTGAGTTCCTGAGGGCTGGTAACCTGCAACTTTTAGATTCTTCCTTGGTCCAACGCACCTTGAATCAAATGGCTGAGTTACCTCTTCATTATGCAGTCTGTTCCTCCAGTCATCTCAATCATCTAATTACTTGATTCAGGTGTGTTGATCCAAAGGCAGATCTAAAAATACAGGATCCCGACCCTCAAGAACTGGAATTCCCCACACCTGGGAAGTCTAAAGATCAGGACTATCAGCATGTGCTGCCCCCTTGGATGGACAGAGCTTTTTCAATTTCAAATTCAGTTTATTTATATGGAACCAATTCACAACATGTCATCTCAAGACGCTTTACAGAGACAATTCAACCAGATCATACAGTCAGATTGGTTCAGTATTGGTTCCTATTTAAGGAAAACCAGCTGATTGCATCAACATGCTTGCTTGTGGCGACAGTGCACAAGCAAGCATTTAACAGGAAGAAACCTCCACTAGAGCCAGGCTCAGTGTGTGTGGCCAGGAGACAGAAGCGGAGATACAAAATGCAACTATCAAACAGCTCCACATTCGGCCTCGTCCAGAAACACAGCCAGGCAGACGAGCTCAGAGCAGCTCCCATGTCAGACGATAAAGAGAGCACATCCATTTAGTCACAGCCAGAGAAACAGGACTACACTGCAAAACAGGCTGATCTCCAACATCTATAAACATCGGTGTTGATGGCAGCTGATATTTTTCTCCAGGATGGTGTCACAGCCAAACAGGAACAGACTAGATGAAGCTACTGTGAGAAGAAATGAAGAGAGCACATGCATTAGAGATTTAAGAAATACTAGAGAATAGAGATGGAATGATGAAATGGGGTTCATATGTCCTCCAGCACTCTCAGTCTATAGCAGCACAAATGCAGAAAATAGCAAATGCATTATTAAAAAGTAAAACTTTCTCCCGCCGGATTGACCAAAGCAGGGTTCCTCATTCCGGTTGCCAAGGTTCCATGTTCTTTAACTCTGGTTTCAGTCATCTGGATGGGTCAGGGAATTCTTTAGAGCTTGTTTCTGCTCTGTGTTGGGCTTTTTTCTCTTTCTTGGGGGGTTATTTATGTATTATTAGTCAGGTTTTAACTTAATGGATTTCTTTTTTTGCATTTCAGATACAATTCTCAGATTTTTCTGGTTTCATTTCCCATCATTCCATTTTGTAGCTGTTTGAATTGTGTTTTCTTTTCTCCACCTGCTGCTCTAATTGTGCTATTCAGCTCCTGCCAATGCCGTCCTGTTTGCACCCGTCTTTCTTTCCCCCCTCATGGTGAAATCTGGTACCACGTCTTTTATTGTTTGCTCTGCAACACCACACGTTCTGTCTGGATGTCATTCTTTTTCTGTTGAAGTATTAAAGCTTTGTAAGTCACCACCCTGTCTGGACTTTGGTTCCATCCATGAACCACTCCCTGACAGCTCAATAGTACAATGTCTTTTCAGTAACTGAAGGCATCACAATCTGAGCCTTGGTGTCCAGTTTCACCCACTCAGACATGAAGCTTCAAGCAGAAACTTGAGAAGCGACCGTCCCAGCGGGTAGATTTCAGCACCAAGTGAAAGAAAGGGTGTGATGTTCAAAGCTGCAGTCGCTCCTCATTATCACTTCATCAGGACGCTTTCACACTCACTTTATGACTCTGTCTTTTTGTCCATAAATAAAGCAGGTGATGGGTGGGAGGATGACGGATGTGTCGGCCCCCCCCATGGACTCAAACACTCACTGAACTCGTTGGTCTTAATTGGCCTTGAAGTGGTTGGTGACGGTTAATTTCCCCCAGAGTCTCTTTAGAGCAGCAGCAGCAGCCTCGGCGCTGCAGAGGAAACTTCATTATGTTTATAAGCAGCTCTGGAATCCCAGGAGCTCATTTGGAGCAGATGATGAAGGAGAGCAGATAATCTGTAGCGCCGAAAAAACCACAGCATCTCAGGAAAACACAAGGTTTCTTCCTGTCACCACATCTGCAGCGTTGGTCTGCAGGATGATGGATCGGCACGGAATCCCAAAAGTGCTGTATGGAGGGACTTTTGTTACATTATTGTTGCATAGAACACATTTTGTAAATAGGAATTTGAAAAAAATATGCAGTCAAGAAAATAACTGAATAACTTCTTTATCAAAAAAGGTTTTGAGATTTAACTCTGCAGTTTTATTAGATTTCATTTTTATTTTTTTTAGTATTGAATTTTTACATTTATTTATACAGATTTTATAAGTTTAAATTGTATTTTTTCAAATATAGCTTTTTTTTCTTTGTTTTCTGAATGATTTTTCATCATTTTCCAGATCATCTTCTTTTCACTCCTGGGGGCGGGGTTTCCTAGCCTGACGTAGTCCTACTCAATTCTAGTCATAATATGAGTCTGATACTGCTCCATAGAGCTGTGATTATGGGGCGTGTTTTGAACGAACCAGGAAAAAAAATGCCTCTGCACTCAATTGGATAGACCTACAACCAATAAGAGCAACGGAGTGTTTGTGTATGTTAAGCCACGCATAGTTGTTGTCAACAAAAATCAAAGCGTGCAGTTGCACGCCTAGAATAAGAAGATGAGACTTGATCGCGTTTCTCTGTTCCTCTTTTAAAATTAATTTGCTGTCGATATCTTCTAGAACAGACCTAATAGCAGAATCTACTCACCTAAACTCTCCAGCGGCAGCCATTATTGTTGTCACCCAAGCGCGCTTTGGTGACGTGGTTGATTACGTTACTGTTGGTCATCTGTCCATCATCGTATAAAGCCCGCCCTGACAATTTTATTGGATCGCCAGAGAGTGGGCGATCATACTTGCGCTACTATGGAGCAATGCCAGACCGAACTTCCCGACCTCAAACGTTGTGGGCGGGACTAAGTTCGGAATGGCACCCAGGCTAGGGGTTTCCTCTGGAGTGAAGACTCATTTCTATTGGTCGACTTGATGTTAGCAAGAACATTTTTATTGGTAGTGAGTGTTTGGATTGGGCTGGATATTAAGAAAACGTGATCGAAGGCTGTGTCTTCCAAGGACGCGGTCCAGTTTTGGCTGTGAATTCAAACTTTTTAGGTGAATTTAAATTTTTTACGCTCTGTCGCGTAGCAACAGTGACAGTTGACACACAAAGCAGAAAAAGAATGAATACTGAACTTTCCAAACTGTTTCTTTTTCATTTTGTTTTTCTTTTTTTTATTGTAAAGTGAAAAAGACTACACTCATGAGAATCAAAAGTGGAATGAAGGTTCCAACCACCGGGAGCATGAACAAATAAAAGCAAATATAATGATATAAACCTTAGTCAGTTAAATAACATGCTGCTGTCATTTTGCACATCTCTGATGTTGCTGCTATTTTCAAATATCCATTACTGTAAAAATGTCCATAGCTGCATATTGGTTATTTATTCTCCAGGTTCACAGTTTTATATTGTTAAAACAGTTTACAGTAAAGTATTTGTTTATCTTTAAACTCTTCAATATTATGTTATTCTTATACATTTTTTAGAGGTCCACATTTGTGTGACCATTTTTTTCTAATTTGAAAACCATAATTTTCTAATTTAATAACCCTACTGCTGTAAATTTCCCCATTTTGGGACAATAAAGAGATTTTCTATTCTGTTATATTTCATAAAAGGGGTAGAAACATATAAGTTAATCTAAACAATGTAAGTATAAAAATATATCTCTTATATTCAACAACAAAAAGTACTTAATTAAGCAAATTGTGCAAAACAGCAATAAAAAAAATTCAAATCCTATCAGATTTCTAGTCCCCACACTGCAGATATATTAGAATCTGTCATTAAATTACAGCCAAACCCATTTACACAGTAACAGATTAAAACCTTTAGATAAACTAAACATTACCGCCACATATCTGACTCTATAACCATTAAAACAACTATTTTCACTCCTTTCAGACCGAACTATTTATACTTGTATTATATTAAATTGAACTTCCAATTTTCACCACTGTTTGGCGCCAAATACCATTTTCTCTGATCACGGAGCAGCCAGTTTGCTCGGTCTCGCAATGAATCGTGGGAAAACCAAGGATAGATAGGATACATCGAACCCGTTCTGCAAAAAGAAGGACGCATTTTAAGGCCGCATAACGAGGAGTCCTGGAATCCGACCAGACCTCAGCGCCGCGCTATGACGTAATCGTCTTTCGAATCTAGCCTTTGAAGGACGCATCCCATGAATTCAAACAAAGCAGAAGAAACACAATTTGAAAGAAATTTAATTTGTAAATCTAGGGTGAAAAAAATATATATGAAAAAAAATGCAATATGTAAAGTTTGAAAAAATAAGGAGGAAAACAATTTTACTATTTTACTCTTAAAACTTTTTTGTTGGGATCTGGAGTTTTCTGCCATCTGTCTCCAGCAGAGAGCGCCCTGGGTCTCCTGAGCAGGAGCTTCAGGCACACCTGAAGATCATCAGCCGATCAGGAGACCAGCTACTTAAGCAGCAGCCAGATGTGTCTTCAGCGCCAGAGTGTTGCCAAGTTATGGTTAGCAGAACCTGAGCCAAGCCTGCTAGTCTGATTCTACGTGCCTCTGAACATTGCTGTGTTTTAACCTATGTGCTCTTTGTTTCCTAGACCTGTCCGCCTGCCCTCACGAGCCAAACCTGAAGACTCACTTCTGGATCTGTATTCCGTTCTCAGGAGAGAACCCTGGCAAACCCTCAAGGTCTGTGAAACAAACTCTAGTCTGAAGACAAACACTGCTGCTATCAAGCCTCTGCTGGATCCACAAGCTCTGGACCCAATTGGTTCCCCCTCTCGTCGAATCAGTCTGAATACCTCCAGGTATTGAACCAAGTTCAAACTCAGTCAAGAAACTCCAGACATCTGGCTAACCAAACTTTCCCTTCTCTACAGAGAACCCTCAAGAAGTCTGTCCCGGGCTTATACCAGAACCGTGTTTATATGTTTGTGCAACTCTGAATAAACCTTTGAACTTTTTACCCCTGTGTTCGTGGTGTGTTCTGCATGTGGGTTAAGTCTGTGAAGCCCATCATGACCTTTTTTTTGATTAAGACGCTTCTATAATTTTCATTTGCAAACATTTTGCTCCTTTGCTAGCAAAACTCATGGAAGAAAATTAAGAGCAAAATTCACTCCATAGATTAGAAGATTCAGAAAAGATCAAACAGCCTTTTCCCACCCAGGAAGAGGAACCTTCTGGAACCTGGATTGCTCAGATGAAACAAAACAGATCCTTCTGAGCTGAAATTTTAATTAATCAACACATTCTGAAGAGATGTTTTAGATTACTGGAAGAGATTTCTACTATTTAAGTTATTCTGCAAAAGCGCAAAAGAAAAAAACAAACATTGATATCCCCCTGGATGCTGCAGTCTGGAACCCAGGTTCTCCTGCGGGATGGGTTCTGGGATGTTTTCCTTGAAGCGGCACATGAGGGACGGCCTTCCTGCAAACAAACCGCTCAGAGACGTTGGTTCTGGTTGTGATGTTTCTGAAACAGATGCAGTCTAATTAGTTTTGGCAGCAGAGGCAGTGGGAAGAGGAGGGAGCAGGCGAGTGATGAATAATCCAGCAGAGACGCTCAGTTTGCTGTTGCTCTAGTCTCTCAGCCCCACATTCATTTTCTCTCTCTGCTCACAACAGGTGAGTGTGAGGCGTTCAGGAAGATGTTCTGTATTTATCAGAGCGATGTTTGGAGCCACAGGAGAGGGAGAAATCCATCAAAAAACGCGGAAGGTATTCCCTCTGCAGCAGATTACAAAATATGAATAACTAGAGGAAACTAAATAATCTGTGAAACGCAGCAGAGAAGAAACCATCTACTGCTGGGAAGCAGAAACTAACAGAAGAACAAAAAAATAAAAAATAAATGTCCAAAGTTCCCTAGACTGACTAAAGTATTCACACCCCTGCACTGGAAAAAATGTAACATTGCTCAAATAAAAAAGATGATGTCCAGATATCACATCTAAACTATTTGACTTCACAGAATCTGAATTTAATCATTTGTTATGACCTGATTATTTTATGTTGATGTGAAGAATAATACTGCATTTGACCCAACTTTAAATCTTTGCCCTGTTCCAAATGATTTTCTGAACATTTCAGTTGATGAACCAAACTAATATATTGAAATTGAACCAACCTAATGAACTTACTTTTAAATAAATTAACATGAATTAATATTTGTATTGAGACCAGTTAATTGATTTAAATATAACCAAATGATAATTTTCACATTTTATTTGACTTTACTTCAAAAATAATTACCATTTCCCATCTATTAAAGAAACACCTGGCCAACAAATTACTTTAAATGTGTTTATTAGTTGTTAAATGGTGTAAATCCAGGTGGTGTAAACTGACGTCAACTAACCTCAGCAAGTGGTAGCAGTTAGCATCTGTCGCTAACACGCTCACCACAACAGCCCTAATGCTGTTTATAACATAACACTGGAGGTTCCCGCTACCGATGACGGCCGGGTATCCAGCATTTGACTCGAACTAAACTCCACACTGTACCTTAAAGCAATGTTTGTTTAGCTCTGGATGTAGCCCAGTTGAACGAGCGAGAACTTTTGGCTAGCTAACATTAGCGATTCATTGTCATAACGCCAAACGTGTAAACCCTCTCAGACGTCAGCTAGCTAATATTAACTAGTTAACTAGCCAGCTATAACATTGATTTTATGCAACTGCTTTGCGACTTGCATTAACAATGGACGAAATCCACCCAGAACGCTCTCTCGCGGTCTGGGACTGGGACTTGATCACATGTTCTCATGTGACTCCAACAAAAAAAAAATTACCTGTAGGTCATGAATGAATATATACATATTGAAAGAAATCAAAAACGTTGTTTTTGGTCCTTTGTACGTGTATTTAGCTCAGGTTATATCAAACGTTATGTCTCAAAATCCAAAAAGAATGAGTTACACAATCAAATTAATAATTTTATCCAGTTTAGAGTGACAGTCATTAGTTTGAATGAACAGCTACATGTTACACTTTTTTTCAGTGTGGAACCTGTTTTGCTGACTGGGGTCTCTTGGTCTTTCTTTATCCAAACTCCTCAAACATCAGGGACAAAGCAGTTGACACTCTGCCCTGGAACCAGGAGCTCTGAGGCTGGTTCCGTGCAGCTTTGTGTGTGTGTGACACTTTCTGTCTTTTCCCTCTGACATTTTGGCTTGGCTTCGTCAGAACAAGCACGGTCCGTTTGCAGAGGAAGATAAGGTACCTCAAATCGAGGACAGACCGCGAAAGTCCTGGAGGATGGGTCTCATAGAGCAGGGGACTTTCTACGGTTGCCACCTTAGTCAAACCGACTGTAACAGTTCATCAGGACCTCACTGGGACTACTCTGCTTATTTAGGGCAATGTCTGCTGTCTCTGTTCTTCAGAGAACTTATATTAGAACAGTTCTTCTAAAACCGTATGAAGCTCTTTCAGTTCTGAATCTGTCCGCAGGTGTAGTCTTTGGGCAGAGAGGCCTGGTGGTTCCGAAAGTGTCTTTGGTTCTGGTCTCTAGAGAGGCACTAAGCCTCTGCAGGACGTCTTCAGATGGCACTGAAGAAGTTCTCGGAGGATGAAGCAACTGTTTGCTTCTGCCGCAGATCCTCTGGTTGGACCAGGTGGTTCCTTCCTCTGCATTTGCTGCTCGGTTGGTCATTTGCCGCGGTTACTTACTCGGTCCGATGACTGACCGGTGGGTCTAAATCAGACAAAGTAGCAGTGAACACAGAGAGCTCATCAGGCTCTGCTAGTTCACTACTTACCTTCAGGATGATCATTAAAAGCTCTAACTGATGAGATGTGGGCGACTCAGCCCGTTAATAGAGAGTCCAGCACAACTCTAATCAGCTATGATGGACGGTCGGATTCAGAGGGATCGGCATTAGTCAGGACCAAGGCCCGCTTCTTAATTAGGTCAGTCTTTTCTAATTACCTCTGAGGGAGCAGAACAAATGAAAGCTGAGCACGGTCAGAGCGGGCCGGCCTCCTCTGTAACGACTCCATTATCGCTTTGCTGCCACATTAAAACACATCAAGACTTCGTGTTCACTTCCTGTCTGTCCCTCGCCACCGGATGGAATGAGTTCAGGCTGAAACAGAACCTAAAGAACACGGTTCAGTTTACTGGTCCTGTTTATAGATATCGAAAGACAACAAGGAAACTTTATTTAATAAATGCTAAAAAATCAGCAAAACCCAAACATCAGAGGGAAACCAGTAAGACTCAGTGTGTGGGCTTTGGTTTGGAAGGTAAGAATAGACACAGACTGACAGTACAAGAACTGGACCAGGTGTACTTTCTACAGAGATTACAGGCAGCGAATGAACAAGGAACTGACAGAATCTGGATTCTGGGATTGATAATTTGATCCAGTATATATAACAGGTTCTGGTTTCATGTTAGAACAAAACTTTCAAAAGTCACGGACCGTTGCTCAATCTGTGTACTTGTGTGTTCTCGTGTGCTCGTGAAACGCCATCAGCCTCAGCCCTAGTACTGTTCCAATTCACAAGAACAAGAAAGCAGAGAACGGACAAATGTTGTTCTCGTCCCTCCCTCTTTACCCAGCATGCATCAGAGCGGACTCGTCTATTTTTGAGATTGACAGCTGTCCAAGCATGCACTGCAGCAGCAGCAGCTTTCAATGGAGTATTCAATTAAAAGTTCACTTTTCTGTTGTAATCATTCAATAAATTACATTTTAAGATCATTTGAGGCGAGAACATAATTCTTCCAAGCGTCCCTATAAGGCTCATTTACTGATTTGGTGCATAATAAAAATGTTTTTTTTCCTGAAGTTGAGAGGACCGCAGCAACCAGTGGAGCTCCGGGGCTAATGGCAGCCAGGGCTAACGTTAGCCCGTCTGCAGCAGCCCTCTCTTAGCATAGCCGTGTGTGAAGGACCGCTGGCTCTGATGGCGAGTTTTTTTGTTTTATTTGGCAAAATGTTTATTTGTGTTTATCTGACTGTGTTCATTATTATTCCCCCACTAAATGAAAAAGGTAAGAATTTATTATAATCTAGAGAATATTAACAACAGGAGGTGAAATGCAGCTCTAGACGAGCTGAGCGGTGGTGATGTCATCAGTACGCTTCTCTTCAAATTGACCCATATTTATGCTGTGTCCTCCCGTTCTCCCAGAGTCCAGACTTTCCTGTGTTCTTCTCAAGAACATACTTGGCGAGGACAAGAGTCTGTACTCGCATGCTTGTGAATTGGGAAACGGCCACAATCTCTTGCTACAACCGCACCAGTTAACGCAGAGACTTAGAGCAGGGGTCTTTAACGTTTTTCAGGCCTAGGACCCCCAAAGTGATGATGAGATGGAGCGGGGACCCCCTGATTTTATATATATTGTATGAAATAGTGTTATATCAAACTGGTCCTATGGTTCTATTACAGATGGAGTGATGTAACGAAAGTGATTTCTTCCTGGGGTTATTAAAGTATTTCTGATTCTGATTCCTGGTTGATGGGACAGGTGTTCTGTATGAAACGGTGCCCAGATTGAAAGAGCTCCTGTCTGTCGCTGAACGTGCGCATTGATGACTTTACTACAGTGTGTTGAATTCATGTTAATGTTTATTTAAAGATATTTCAATTAGTGGAAAAAATTGCAAAAAAACTCAAACTTTCGCGACCCCCATGTAGTACCTCTGTGGACCCCTTAGGGGTTACGGACCCCCTGTTGAAGATGTCTGACTTAGAGGACTGCTTTCTGGTTCCAGAGCATGGAGGATCCTGATTGGCTGAGGAGCTGAGGGTGGGCGTGTCTTCAACATCAGGAGTTCAGGCAAAGGAGGAAAGCGCTGCTGATTTCTGAACTGGATGCAGAGACACAAATGTTTAATCAATTAATTGATTGATCGCTCAGCTTTAGACCATAGAGGAACAGAAAAGTTACTTTGACTGGAACTGAGTTTTTATTTCAGATGGTTTGTAGGAGAAGTAACTAGTAACATGTTACCTTTGTCAGTTAAGGTTTCCCACACTGA